TAAGAGCATTTTTTCCGACTACAGTTCCATGTGATACTGGCACTGCAGAGCCTCACACCATGCACATCCCTATTTTGATACACAGTGCAGTTTAACCTTTTAAAGACCTTCTTCCCTATTGAATTTACTACAAGGTCTCTAAATTGTAGAACATTACCCTGGAATCACAAATTAAGCATTGCTTAAAAGTTGTTTTCTCATATACAAAACATATGTGAACCTAAGTCAAACTAAATATTGTGAAGGCTATTCCAATTCTTGATCCAAAACTTTGTTTTTAAAAAATTAATTATGGGCTGAGCACTGGTGGTGATGCATGCTTTGATCCTAGCACTTGGGAAGCAGAGGCCAGTGGATCTCTGAGTCCGAGGTCTGGGGTCTACAGAGCAAGTTCCAGGACAGCCAAACAGACAAAGTTACATAGAAAAACACTGCCTCAGGATAACGGTGGCGCATGCCTTTAATCCCAGCACTTGAGAGGCAGAGATAGGAGGATCTCTGAGTACGAGTTCAGGCTGGTCTACAAGTGTTAGTTCCAGAACAGGCTCCAAAACTACGGAGAAATCCTGTCTCAGAAAACCAAAAAAGAAAAACACTGTCTCAAAAAAACAAAACAACATGATTCCTCCCTCCTCCTACTAGCCTGCCTTGTTCAGCCTTGATATGAGCTATGTGCCTCTTCTTATAACTTGGTATGTGATGTATGGTTGATATCCCTGGGAGGCCTGCTCTTTCCTGAAGGAAAATGGAGTGAGGGTCTGGGAGGAGAAAAAAGAAGGGAAAGAGTGGTTGGGATGGAATATATGAGAGAAAAGGGAAGAACAGAATAAACAGTGATAATTTTGTTTCATCTCAAGTAAACTGGCCTATCCTATAGATTACATTAAGTTCAAGTCAGGTAGATTATACAGCGCACATAGGCTAATCAATTATAGGTATCTAAGAGAATAAGCTTTGGCAATAAGATGAAAAAGCCTTCAAAGCAATTCCATGTGGTTATAAGAACAAATAGTTCAACATTCAGCTGTAGAGAATATCAATTTCCTCCACTTCATTCAGCTAGCCATACATACACCTGAGATAGCAGTCAGACAGAATGCCTCTGGTGATTATAAACACTCACACAGGGCACTGTCTCGCTTCCCTCTTTTCTTCACAGCATCTGTGTGGCTAACAGGACAAGACCTAACACAGTGCCAGGCTGTCCTGATTTTACTTAAAAAGAATACTCAAAGCCTTGCTACTACTTTCATCCATCACTCCTGGGATCACTGAGAGGGTAACTTCTTTTAGATCACACAGCATCTATTCCATTAAGTTATTTTTTTTTTCACAAACTCTGAAAAGTTCATACATTACATAGCATATTCTGATCACATCCACCCCTCATTCCCTGTGTCCAACGTTCCTTTTAGTTTCTCCCAAGATGTACTGTCCTTAATCTCTACCTTCAAACAAGACTGCCCAGTCAGGCATGGTGGCACATTTACATCCCAGAACTTAAGGGGCAGAGGCGACAGATCTCTTGAGTTCAATGACAACCTTGTCTACATAGTGAGTTCTAAGCCATGAATACATAGTGATAGTCTGTCTCAAACAAACAACAATGTTCCAGTATTAAAACAGAAAATACAACTGTACCGGAGACTTTAGAGATCACTGTTAAGCTTTCCATCTCAGTCCAGATATGGTGGCATCTTATCCCCAAACACGGGAGGCAAACACAGGTTCATCTCTGTGAGGTCTAAACGGATCAGTAGAGGCCAGGCAGGGCTATATAATGAGACCCTATCTTTAAAAAAATAGTAGTTTTCTACTTCATTTTCACTTCCCCCTGAATTCTGAAATCTCTACTTGCTTTTCATTCTATGCCTAACCTCTGCAAAATTGTCATTTGAGCTTAACACTAACAGGACTTACGTCTCATGGGTTCCAAAAAAGAAAATGGGTAGTTTGTTTGTGGGTGGTTTCACAGCTCCATCAGGAACTTCATCTACCTAAAAGAAAGATCAGAAAAAGTAAAGCTTTTTTAAATCTTACACACCCTGTCACACACGTGTGAACTCAGAATAAGACACCCCAAATGGATCTGATACAAAACTGACTCATTTTACAAATCTACTCAAATAAGTTCTAAAAGGCAAGATTATTTTCCCAGAACTCATTTGGTGGCAAAACCTGTACTGACACCAGAGTCCTTTTTTCCCCCCATGCATTTATCCTTGTTTTATCCTTGTTTGCTTGGAAAAATACTAAGGTTATCATGTGCTTACTAAATCATCCCAGCAGCAAACCTTTTGTTTTGTTTTTTGAGACAGGGTACCTAGGATCAGAGCATAAGTACAGTACTTATAAGAATTCTGATTAGATAAACTCAAAATCATTTAAAAATAAACTGTGATGTTCTGAAATCGTACTTATTTTTCATACAATTTAAATGTTTTTATTTCTTTTGTTTTTCCAGACAGAGTTTCTCTCTGTAGCCCTGACTATCTTTGAACTCAGAAATCCACCTGTCTCTGCCCACCAAGTGCTAAGTTTAAAGGCTAAGTCACCACTGTCAGGCCCAGCAGCAAATCCTAAAACAGTGTATCACGATCAGCTTTCTAAAATCCCCAATTACTTAATTTTCAGAACACATTTGACACCAAGCATTTCATACAAGAGTCTCAACCTGCTGGACAATCCTGCAGGAGGGCTATACAAACCGTAAGTAATGTGAGGCTAGAGAAATGGCTCCGTGGTTAAGAGTACTTATAACTCTTCCAAAAGATCCAATTCAGCTCCTAACACCCATGCCAAGCCCCTTACAACCACTTCTTCTAGGGGTCCATCACCCTCTTCTGGCCTCCTCAGGTACTCGCATACATATGACACACAAACTTATACATTTCCCCATGTTTGAATAACAGTGACAGTCAGAACTCCAGGGCTGTGGTGGAGCATGACTTTAATACAGGGCAGCCAGAGTTGTTAAACAGAGAAACCCTGCCTCAAATGACAAACCAACCGACAAACAAACAAACCAAAAAAAAAAAAAAAATCAAAAAACAGATTCAGCTGCTTCTAAGAAAAAAAAATGAGGAGGGGAATAAAAACATCCTATTCCAACCCAAATGAACTCACTCACTGGAGTGATGGCTCAACAGTTAGAGTACTGGCTGATCTTCCAGAGGATCCAAGTTCAATTCCCAGTATCCACATAGTAGCTCTGAACTGTCTGAAACTTCAGTTTCAGGGATCAAACAATCTTTTGCATACAGCACATGTCATGGAAGTGGTGTACAAGTATATACGCAGGCAAAACATCCGTAAACAAAGGTTTCTAAAATAATTTTTCAACTGGCAGTGATGGTGCACACCTTTAATCCCAGCACTTGGGAGGCAGAGGCAGGTAGATCTACGAGTTCAACATCAGCTTGGCCTGAAAAGCAAGTTCCAGGACAAAGAGAGATACATGGAGAAGTACTGTCTTGGAAGAAACAAGTTAATTTTGAGTGAGTTCCAGAACAGCCAGGGCTGCACAGAGAAACTTTGTCTCAAAAAAAAAAAAAAAAAAGAAAGAAAGAAAAGAAATTTAAAAAAATGAACTGTATGAAGAATAATTACAATTTCAGAACATCAGTTTTTTTTCTAAAAATAATTTGAGTTTATCTAATCAAATTTCTTTATCATGTTCTGATCCTAGGCACCATTATAAACTAAAAAAAAAAATAATAATAAAAACCAACACTTTTTTTCTGAAAATGGACCTTGGGTTTTTCTATCACATCTTGAGTCCTTAAGACTTCTCAGGTTTCCTTAACCCAGGGTACCGTCTACACCCTCCCCCTTGCCTGTGGAGAACAAAAAACCATAAAACAACTTCTTCAAGGTCATAAGGCAAGGAATGTGAATTTAAAAGGCCCAAGTGCATCACCAACTGCAAATCCTGTATTAAACATGTCTAAATCTAGTTTAATCACATCTGACATGCAAGGGTTTGTAGTTTGCATATTTCGTTGACGATGTGTATTTTATTCAAAATTCCAAAATTTAAGGAAATGTCACTTTTAAACATAAAGATCATACTTGTTGATTTCGCCTACAATGAAACATTAGCTGAATGTCATCTCTAAATATTTCCTATGAAGAACACCTGTCAGACTCAAAAGCAAGCCACAGGGAAAGCGCGGGTGTGCAGAAAACCCGACAATTTTACAATTGCACGGGAGAGCACTGAAAAAAAAACTAAAATGAAAGGTTCCAAGTAACGGTAAAGGGAAGCGAGGGAGAGGAAGCGGAGAAGAAACGATGGGAAGCAGGCCTCTGGAAAGGTTGCCACACCGCTCCACCGGGGCTACAAATCACTTACTCGAGCTGGCCAATGAGGATAACCTTTCATCTTGGCGAAGATGAGGTCTCCAGGTTTGAAATCGCGAGTCATGTTGGAGGGGCGACGCCGGGAGTCCCAAGACCAGAAGGGGGAGCAGCGCAGTCGCGATCGGGAGCTGCGAGCGCGGACACGAGCTGGGACTGGCGGGCCCGCGGGCGGGGGAGGATGCCTCGGGGTGTCCCGACGAGCCTGCGAGGGACAGCCGGG